GGGCCGGGGCCGCGCGCAGGGACCGTTGGGACCCCCAGGAACAGCCCGTTCCCCTGGACCTTTTTATTTGGCTTTTTGGGTTTGTTTGGGGTTTTTTTTGTCGCTTTGGAGAGTATTTTTCGGGATTTTTGCGTTTTTAGCCGTGCAAACGGGTGCTCACTGCCCCCCTTGTGCAAAAAGAAGAAATAAAAAAGATTATAACCACAGGTGCACGCAAAACCTTGGAAAATGTAAATATTGGCGTCTTATCGTACCAGTCCCAGCACAAACCCAAAAATCTTTGAATGGGTTTGTTGGAAAAGACCTTTGGGATCATCGAGTCCAACCATAACCAAACCCTACCGAACCTGGAGCTAACCCTGTAATCTTACCACGTCAGCGTGCTGCCGATTCAACCCCCTGCATGGGCTGCCTCTTCCAGTGTTTAATTGCCCCCTCCAGTGACTGCAGAATAAAACTATCCCAGGTAAAGCCACATCAACTCGTGCTCATTACAGTGGATGCTGCAGTGTCCTCAGAACTCCATCTCTGTCCAAACATCAAAAGGGAATTTGACATTTCAACCCCAGCAAAACCAGGACAGAGGGGAGGGGGGAAACGTGGTTTTCTGTTTCATTTCATGATTTGAACAAACGCACCTGCAGCTCGGTGCGCACCACCACGCTCCCCGCAGACCCCTTCTCAGCTCCTGCAGACTCGCACCTCCTCTGAAGCTGTTTGCAAAGGAATTTGGGAATCCCTTGCACTTGCTTCATTTCCAGCTTTTTCTCCCCAGCGCCCAGTGGTGACTCTCAGAGGTGGTAAAAGAAAAAGGAAAAAAAACCCACAAAACAAAAAAGTGACGGACCAAAACACACGGCTTTTCCCCCATAAGCTCAACTGGGAGTTACCGCCCTTGGGAGGGAACGTGCAAGCAGAGCACCCATGGTGGATGTCACGGGGGAGCTCACAGCAGAGCAGGCCGGCTGGGGTAAAACACCGGCTTTTCAGAGCAAACAGGCAGGCGGGTGCTCCTGGGAGACCCTAAATTTGTTACAGCGCTAGCTAACGTCACGCTTGGAGCTGAGATGCCACCAGCACAACGTCTCACTCTGTGCAGCGCTTCGCCTAATCAACATCTGAGACTTTTTATATCTGCAAAGCCTGCAGGAAACGATGACTCAGAGAAAACGGAAGGGGGGAAAAAAGGCAAATTTTAGGTATTGATCCACCATTTTTAGCCTTGCTGACAAGGAGCTCGGAGGCATCGTGCTGGCACCCCACGACGCTGAACTGTGTGTGCCCCTGTTATATCCACACGCCCCCACTCCCTCGATGCTGCGCTGCCGGGCTCGCCCCAGCCCTGCTCCGTGGTTAAAATCCCTCCGGAGACCCCTGCCCCCTCACCACGAGCCCTCCGGCAGCCGGGTGCAAACCACCGCCACCAGGCAGAGCTCCTCGTGGTTCCAAAATGCGCAGCCCCTTCCCCGATGTGCCCCAGTGCCCTCCACACCCCAAAAAGAGGGGCGAGAGAGCCCCCCACCTCGATTTTCCCAGCAAGTTTTTGCTCTGCGCGCAACAAGATTTAAAGGCAACAGGAAGAGCTTTTATGCAAAGTAAGTACAGAAATCTGCTTGGGAGCGCAGCAATTAGTGCTGTTGAAGCCAAGATGATAAATCCACGTGGATGAAACAGGAGCGGCTGACAGAACAGTTTATGTCCTCAGAGCTGTAAAGCCGGAGCCTTTCTTCTTTTCCTGGGCTGTCACAGCAATCTTCCCTCCTCTGAGTCAAACCTCGGAGCGTGCCGGAGCTCACGGGGATGTCGCAGGAGGAACCCTCCTGCCAGCGTAGAGACAGCTCTGCAACGGCACGAAATGGGCAGAGCAGCACTGTGGTCTCGGGGCTTCTGCTCCAGGTTTTGGGCTCCTCGTCCTGCTCAGGGAGCAGCTGCCCGGTGCAGCAGGGCCTCTGTTCCACTTGCACGAGTGGTAGCCAGAAACATTTAAAAGCCATCAACAGCTGTAGATAAAGGTGAGCCAACACCACATCCCCTTCTGAAAGGCAAGAAATTACACACTGAAAAAGTTACCCTCATTCCTTAGCGGTCTTTCAGGTTGTCCACAGGCTGGTTTTAAATTTAACAGAGATTTTTAACCCATTTTTTAAGTGCTGTCAGTCTCCCCCTGACAAGCAAAGCTGCTCAATCCCCTTGCAGAAGCGTGGTCAGAAAGGAGCAGGAAAGGTTTGCAGGTCCCTGCTGCTGAGGTTGCTGCTGCCTGCCACAGCACAGACCTCCCCATTCATTAGCACCACTGCATTTCAGTAATTACTGCAGTATTAAAGCACCGGCACGCTGTAGCTGTGCACAGGGGATCTGCTCCTCGCTGCCAGAAACCCCAGGTAAAAACATCAGGGCTCCAGCTGCATGCCCTTGACATGCAGCGCAACAACCCACGCACCCCTTGGGGAATACAGGGATTAAAGTGTTTGTTTTCATAGTTATTGACAACAATTTTCCTAATAATAAGATTTTAAGACACGACTTTTCGCTATGTGAGAAAACGGCACCTTCGCTGCTCTCACCTCCCGGGAGCCCCGGACACCCCCCCAGGGGCTGGGGATGGCGCCCTCTTGTGGCTCCTGCAAGTATTTTCAGTTAGGTCATTGCGGTGGCCCTGTGCTCCACTGAGCACTAATTACACCTAATTGTGCCTGGCTGCTGCACGGCTGATAAGCGGTTATTTGAGTTTTTTTTAATTCACGGTTGGGCCTTCTCCCTGGAAATGGCTGGGATACACCAAACACCCCACTCCCCTGCCGTTAGTGACACCCAAATGAGTGCTCCAGAGAAGTGACCAGGAGGGCTGTCCTGGTACAACGCACACGGAGCGTGTAACACAAAGGATGCACGTGTGTCAGTTTTGCTCTGCTCCATCCCACCACCGATGCTGGCCAAACCCTCTGACAAAAACACGCATAGCGAGTGATTTAGTAACATTCATTTATGACCTTCAGGCAAAGAAAAGTGTGGGGGGAAGCAGACAGGCAAAAGATCACACAACTATTACACGAACTGAAGCACAGTTATATTTTATTCTGGCATCACCATCCATCCCCACACAAGAAGCGCATATCGTGGTGCATGGAGCGAATGCATCCCGATGGGGCTGCCCAGGAGGATGGGGCAAAGAACCATGCTTCAGATGGGGATAACCATGGGTACGGTGACCAGATTTGGAGACAGGGCCTGGCAGTGCTGCCCACCCTCATTATTGCTGATTGACAACTGAAATACATGAGCCTGCCGGGGATCCTGTTAAGGCTTAACCAGGGAGGTTCAATGCTACCACTTTCTGTACATACACAATACAACTAAGTGCCAGTTGAAAACTCCATAAGCAGAATTGCTCCATGGGTAACACCAGGACGGGAAAACAATTCAATGCTTAGGGCCAGAGGGCAACCTGGCTGGGAAAAAACACGTCTGGAGATACAAGTAGCTGTAACAGAGTTTATTGCCACGTCGCCACAGCTGCTCCAAAACAAAACCCTTTATTTCTCCACCCGTCCATAAGCGTATTGTGAATGATAAAATAAATCAGCAGCACAAATTGTCAGAAGAAATTGGTGGGCACCCATGGGCTGAACGTGCTCCTGTCCCCAGGGGGCTCAGAGGGGTCCCCCCAGCAGGGACACAGCGGGGCCAGGGCAGAGGTATTTTAAACACAGACATGGCAGGGACCCTTTGATGGGCAGGAGGAGACTTGCTCCTTTGCTGCCCATGGAAGAGCAGGAGAGACCGCCAGGAACAGGGCTGAGAGGCTGCAAACAGCCACACTCCGAAACAGAAATAAAAAAATATACATCTATTATTGCCAACAAAGAGTTTTAAGACCCTCTTGCACCACAGAGGATAAGGTGAATGAATTTGTCGGGCTTGGTCTTGTTATTTTGTTGCGGAACTGAGGAGCTGGTTTGTAAGGGAAGGGGCAGACCTGGATACACAGTGTTTGAGGTATGGTCGGAAGAAAAAAAGTGCAGCAAAAGAGAGATTGAAAAAACCCAAAAAGAAGAAAAAAACCCCAGTTAATAGGTTGGCTCCGAACACATCTCTTGCATGAAAATGATTGTCGAGAGTCACTAGTGAAGATAAGGTAAGAAAATGTGTTCACCACAGAGGTACCGTTCTGCTTCTTGCAACAACAGAAAATTAACCTGAAGTCCATAAAGCATTTTCTGTTCACCGCAGGAATACTCTTTGGAAATCCCAAATTTCATTGTCCAGAGCACGGCCCCGAGGGTGCCCTCCAGTTTGTGGGGGGACGAGAAAACCTCGAGCCAAACGCTGCTACCCGCAGCCTCCCCATGTCCATCCACGGGGTGCAGGGTCACCCCAAAACGCCACCCAAGTGTCTGGTCTCCTGCACCAGCGTCCTACCCAAAGCGAAACTTCAGCCTGTACTTGATGGGGCCGGGGTTTTTCCGTGGCGGGGCCGGGGCGACCTTGGGTTTGGGCGGCGGGGGCTTCTTTTCGGGGAGGGCAACAGTGAAGGCGAGCTCGGGGGGCTGCGGCTGCCGGAAGCGGGGCAGGAAGTGCGTGGAGACGTGCTGGGGCCTAGCGCGGGGGCTGCAGCCGCGCTTGGCCTTTGTTGAGGGCCACGTACCACTGCCGGCCGGGGCGCGGGCCGCGGTGCACCGCCGAGGCATACGTGTTGTAGCTGTTCTCCTGGAAACGCTCCCGGAAGTGGCAGTCGGACGTGAACTGGGCCTGTGGGGACACAGACGGGGCAAGGCGTTAGCAAACGGAGTCCTTCAACCACCCCCTGCCCCGCCACGCTCGCTGCGGCTCACATCTCCCAAACCAGGCCCAAAGAGGGGGACTGGGGAAACCTGCTCCAAGGCCAGCGAGCACCCTATGGCTTGGAAAGCCTCTCAACACTGCTTGGCACCCAAATTCGGACTTTCTCGGGGGAAAAATTGGGCTGCAAGAGCCCATCGACCCTTAGCACCGCAGCTGTCACCGTGCCCTTCCCTTGGGCAAGAATGGGCTCCATACCCACCCTGCCAAAGATCCCCGGGACGAGCCTCGGCCCATCTCTGTTCCCAGCCTCGCACCCCTGGCTTTGGCACTGAATCATCACTTAATAATCTGGAGAGGCAATTTGCATGCAGATTTTCATTGCTTCACTGAACATGGGTCTGATTGTATTGGATTTTATTTTTTTTTTTCCCTTCTTCATCTTAAATGAACTTGGGGCGTTTTGTCCCTTGATAACCTGAAGAAGTGACGCACAGCCAAAGAACATCGCCTCTTATAAACAGGGCGGCTGTGCCCACTCCCAGACAGCCACGGGGAAAGGCTTCCCTCGACATGAAGGGATAAGACCCTAAAGCATCGGATCCCCAGCACAACCCTGCGCCCAGGAAAGAGCCCTGGAAGCGTCCCTGAGGGGATGCTGGGACACAGCCAGCACCGGTGCTCAGCCACCGGCTCCCGCTCAGGCTGTGGGGATGCACTCGTTTCTAAACTCCTAATTTAACCAGAGAAACTGAGTCCCACCACACAAGCGACAAAGTCCCTGACCTGCAATGGGTTTTTTCCCCCCATAACACTTTGAATTAAGTCTCCTTTTGCTCTTCACTTGAACAAAATGTCACCTTGACCGCTCATCTTTGCTTTCCCTGCCTTTCATGAATCCACAATGCTGCATCACCCATGCCCCTGCCCATACAAATCCCAATAAATTCGTGCCCCTGCTCATACAAACCCCACACGGGTGGCCGAGGTCACCACCGATTTACTCTCATAAGCAGAATTCATGGTTTCCACCCGACACAGCCGTTTTTTAGGCAATGCCGCCCCACAGAGGCGGATGGCAGTAAGGGGGCTGCCCAGGTCCTGGAGGCCTGGAGCATCACAGGCAAAGTTCCTGCTTAAATATTTTTTGGGAGAACTGCTTCCTGAGAGCTGGAGCAGCATCCCCTCCAAAGCGGGATGCGGGGAAGGTTGGGGTCCCCGTCCCTGGGCACATTGGGATGCACATAGAGGGAAGCCCTCGCCCCCAGACTGCACCCGCCGTGGGGAGCGCATAGGATGCTGCTCCTCCATCGCTCAGATGGTCTTCCCTGCGTTCCTGCAGCCCAGCCCAGCGACTGCACGTTTCAGCCAGGGAAAAAAGGTGCTTTTCCCAGTACGGGGCAGGCGGCGCAGCACTGTGTGCTGGCTGGAAGCTCCAGAAACAAGCACAAAGAGCAATCCTGAAGTCAATCACTTTTCAAAACCCAATTCAGCAGAGACTTGCCCGTGCATTTGGTCATCTCAGAACAACTCCTGAGCACACAGAACTACCCAAGAGCCCTGTGGACAACTCTCGCTGTCGGGGTCCGTGCCGGCCCCTCCTGAGACTGACACCAAACCCACTGCTGCCCGTTTTGTGCTAAAAATGTACAAACACGGGGCCGAGGATTTAACAACGAGGAAGGAGCCATCTGTGCACGCAACTGATAATTGCTGGGATTACTGTCATTTTCTGAAGCCGGTGCCTCTAAAAACGAACCGCTTGGTAATTTAATTAAGTTGCCTTAAGAAAAAAAATTAAAAAATAAAAAAAAAGGAGGAGGGCTGCTGTAAAGCACCGAGCTGGGATAAAACGGGGCCGCGAGAGCCAGTTTCGAAGGAGCCCGAATCCCTGCAGGAATGACTTTTATCTGCGGTTCGGCACAAAGTCACCGGCGTGACTCCCATATCAAAGCGCTGCCCTGAGTGACGGGCGCAGGGCTCGCTTTGTACTGCTCAAAACTCATTAGGCCATGAAATAACTTCATCCTGCCAAGGCAGGAAAGAACAACAGATGCCGGGTTTGCATTATCGGCGTTATTTAGCCCAGCAATCTTTAGACATTTGGGTCAAGTTTCTACAAATTCGCCGCTTTCATCCGCGCGGGGCATCGTGTGTCCTCGCCCCCCGCTCTGACCCGCCTAATTTGAGGTCCCTCTCCAGCGCTGCCCTTTGTGCGGCGACAATTAGCCATACACCAACGAGGCTTGATTTAATTTCAGCCTGTGCTGGGGCATAAATCAAGGCTTCAGCTGCAATAAGGGGCCCATTGTGTGCCGCCAGGGAGGGCGGCTCGGGAAGGTCCCAGGATCACGCTCCGCTTCGCTCTGCTCCCTCCACCTTTCCTCTGCCCCATCTCCTGTCCCCTGTGCTTCCCCTGTGCAGCCCTTCTCCCTTTCCCTTAGGGGCTGCTCCCACTCCTATTTTGGTCCCTAAAATAAGCAAGCATGCGCTCACCCTTTAAGCATCATTAGGTTTCAGGAGCAACACTCCACTAAGACTCCAGGGAGGGAGGCGAGTTCATAAATCTCACCGGAAGGCAATCTGCGGGCTCGGGCAGCGCACGCACATCAGCGACATCCACCTAAGGACGGTGCGGTTTGCCTCCTAACCGCGGGGCGGGCAGTTCGCTTATCCCGGCGCTGTGCCCCTTCCCCGCACGCCAACGGGCGCAGACGGGCTCCAGCACCGCGCGTGCCGCTCTCCGGGAGACATTTGGCTAAAGCCGTCTGCGCGACGCGCTGCAGAAGCTGCTAAAAATAAACCGGCAACGCTCACAGAACAAGTCCTTTTGATGCAAATATCCAACTGCGGGGGGGGGGGGGGAAGCAAAAACAAAAGCGCTTTTCTCGGTTAAATGCAGTAAGAGATGGGCTCTGGGGTTTTCAGCTGTACCTGTCCCCTGTCTGCCCAGCACCCAAAGGTGCTCAGCACTGCGGGGCGCTACCCCGGAGCATCGCTGTTGCGTGCACGTGAAGCTGTCGCAAGGCCTTTAATAAACAAAAGGTACTGAGAAGTAGGGGGTTTACTTACACTTGCATGGAGTTTTCCTTTTTTTGACATCGCTAAAAATTTGTTGCTGAAAACTCCTCGTATTCCTACAATCCCCTGAGACACAGCAAATATTTCCAAAATACCTAGGATGACAGAAATCCCAAAATAAATCACAGTGCTTTTCACATCGGCGTGACAAAAAAGAAAAAGTAAGTCTCATAGGTTTTCATTTCCTCTCCACCAAACCCTGCTCCTGGGCTCCCTCGCCCCACGCAGCGCTCGCTCAGCCCCGCAGAGGGACCTGCCTTTACTCGCAGCGTGGATTTTGGTGAGTTTCGTGTTTGTTTGTTTGTAAAGCTGTGCTTTAGAGGGCAATTTCAGTGTCAGCTGCAACAGAATGAGTTCAAACCCTAATGCGGAAATCCCTCGCACGGGTGGGAAAAGCAGCCAAAAGGGACAATAAAGATCCTTGTGCCTACAGCCAGCCCGCAGAGACCACCTCTGCCTGTCCTTCTTCGTGCACCCAGCTCTGGAAATGAGTGTCACACACAGAATTTGGGGCTAAAGATACCAACAATGTTTTCTTACACTCCATCCTCACAGCAGGACTGGGGAGCAGCTCGCTACACAGCCCAGCTGGGAGAAAACAACTCGTTCTCCCCCTAAATGGGTATTTCTGAGCAGGATCAAGTTCTGGCCCCAGCATGGGCTATAACTCATCCCGCAGAAGAGCTCCGACCTCAGAGCATCGCTTAGCGCCAACACAGTTCACATCCCACCATGTGGGGTCCCCCTCAGCAGAGGCAGGGTGGTGGGGAGGTCCCAGTGGCCCCGAGGGGGTTCTCGGTGGCCCAGGAAGAAGGAGCTGATGAGAGCGTGTGGCCTGGCCCCAGCGAAGGGCCGTGCGGATTAACATGCCAAGAGCAAGCACGACGCTGCCGTTAAATCCCCGTGGCCGGGGATCGGATCACTGCTTCCCATGTTTATTTTAAGGAGGAAGCGCAGCTCCCAGAGGCACCCAGGTCCCGCTTCCGAGGGCCAGGGGTTGGGGTCACTTTAAAGGGGCCACCCCTCCTCACCCCACCTGGTGCCACTGCAAAAAGGTGCATACCCTCCCCAGCACACCCCCCATCCCCAAGGGCAGCCCAAAACCTGCTGGCCTTGTGGGAAGTCTTCCAGCCAGCACAGCCACTGCCCCCCCACTTATCGGGGTCGAGCCTGGTTTCCCAGGGGCTAAAACTGGGGTTTCCCTGACAAAAGCTGACTTTTTCTCCAAGGGGAGAGGGCAGCTCCTGGGGGCAGCACCCTTGCATGCACCACGTGCCCCCAGCCAGGGCTGGCTCCGCTCCGCAGCATGGAGATGGTGACGCTGTCACCACACGCGACTTTCCCGGGGTCAAGTCTCAGATAAAGAGGAATGAACTTGACGCAGTCCCAGTCCCCACGAGACCCCCGCAGCATCAAAGGCTGTGCACAACTCGGGGTGGAGGGAAACCCGAGGAACGGATGTCCCCCAATGGGCGAAACTGTTTCCCCAACACCTCTTCCATCTGTGGGGGCACAGCGCAGGCAGCCCCTCCAAACCCGCATCTCCCAAAACAGCACCGACATGGATGCCCCCACATCCACCCCCTTTGCAAGCCCTAACCTCCCTGGCCAAACATACATAGGCTCCTCGCCTGCTCCTGCCAACTGCTCAAAATCCCAAATTTCCAGCCTCGCTGCGCCTGTGCCTGCGGGCTGCCCCACTCCACGTGGCCACAGCACAGAGCAGGGCCCGGATTGTCCCACACAGGCCGGATCTGGCCACGCAGCGGACGCCACGAGTGCTCGGGGTCACCTCAGGCCCTGTCAGTGGCTGCCCATCCCCGCTGCCATTTCGCTCCCTAGCACGGGAGATC